GTAGAACTTCCGTGTTTCTTGGGAACGGCACAGCAGTTCCATTTCCTCGCACTCCGCTTCTTCCAGACGGCGTTTTTTTTCTCCCGAAAGATGCGGGTCTGCTGTTTCCGTTTCTGTTTATACCGTTCCACGTTCTGTCGGGTTCCATGCTGCAGCATTACCGCCCGCGCTGCGTTCTTCTCCTCCAAAATCGCTCTGCACTCCTCGTCGAACCATTAATTCCGTGGACTTCTTTCCACGTACCCGATGGTGCTCTCGGCTGCGTCGGTGATGGCTGCTTTTACTGTACTCCAGCAGTCCTCTAGAGGGGGCACATCAAGCTCGCCCTCCTCTGGCAACGCTGCCTCGAGATCCTGCGCGTATGCTAAGGCGACATCCGGTTGCTTCAGTCGCTCTAGGTTTTACCGTGGTGGGCGTCGGTACCGTACATTGTTGATAACGGAAAGTTTTGGGCGCAGTTTGACCATCGCCAGGTAGTGGTCAGAGTCGATGTTAGCGCCACGATAGGTCCTGACGTCGATAATGTCGGAGAAGTACCGTCCATCAATCAGAACGTGGTCGATTTGCGATTCCGTCTGCTGTGGTGATCTCCAGGTGTAACGATAGGGGAGAAGGTGCTACGTATGGCCATGTTCTTGGAGGCGGCGAAATCGATTAGTCGTAGGCCGTTCCCGTTCGTCAGCTGGTGGGCGCTGAACTTTCCAATCGTCGGTCTGAATTCCTCCTCCTGGCCTACCTGAGCGTTTAGGTCTCCTATGATGATCTTGACGTCGTGGCTTGGGCAGCGATCGTACTCGCGGTCGAGCTGCGCGTAAAATGCGTCCTTGTCATCATCAGTGCTTCCGGAGTGAGGGCTGTGCACGTTGATTATGCTAAAGTTGAAGAATCGGCCCTTGATCCTCAACCTGCACATTCTTTCACCGATCGGCCACCAACCGATCACGCGCTTCTGCATTTCGCCCATCACGATGTTGCCGCAACTCTGGTAGATGGTATGATTACCTCTAAACGTTCTCTTCATGGATCCTGTCCAACACACCTCCTGCAGCGCTACGATGCCGAATCCACAGTCCTTCAGTAGATTGGCGAGTATTCGGGTGCTTCCGATGAAATCGAGAGATCGACAGTTCCACGTGCCGAGTTTCCAATCGCAAGTCCTATTTCGTCGTTGGTCTCGGTTCGTATTCCTCCGTTGCAATGCTTTTTTTTACGGCTGGCTCGCAGGGCCTGACACCAACCCCCTAACTTTCCGGAGGACCAGGGTGCATAGTTGTGCTTAGAGTCCTTAACTGGCACTCGGACGTCGATCAGCCGCCCCTAACATGGGGAACAGACGCTCAGGCTTGCCGAAGCAAACCCCCCCCCCCCCCTTCCCTGTCAGCCTATGACCAAAGTTCCCACCAAGGTTGGTTACCCGATCTTCCCTAAGGTTGCTCACAGTTCCCGGCCGGTACCACGGGGATGTAGGGATAGGAGTTGCTGGGAAGAGGCTAGTGATCTCAATAACAATAGTGATATTAAAACCGGGATTTTTTTTAAAGATTTGAACCGGGAAAAAACCGGAATTTCAAAATGGAAATTCACTGGTCACACTGAGATGTTCATCGTAGTGCTGCTTCCACCTTTCAAACACCTCACGTTCGTCCGTCAAGATACCCCCTTCCTTATCCCGACACATTGCAGCTCGCGGCACAAAGCCTTTAAGGGATGCGTTGAGTTTATCGTAGAACTTGCGCGTTTCGTGAGAACGATACAGCTGCTGCATTTCTTCGCACTCCAGCTCTTCCAGGCGATGCTTCTTATTCCGGAAAAGATGGTTTTGCTGTATTCGCTTCTGTTTGTATCGCTCCATGTTATTACAATATATAAAAAAATATCAGGATGAAGAGGGACCATCGGGGCACGCAATTAAAGCGATTTGGATGGGGAGAGTGAAGATGTCAACTCCCTGTTGCTAACATTTCGTGGATAAAGGGCGGGCTCTTCTCCCCATTCATTGGGGCATCTTTCTTTTGGATGGCTCGTTTTCTGACCAATTGGCTGATCAAGTTGTTGGAAGGAGATTCTTTACTGTCCCAAGGATGTGAATAGGCGAATTGCCTATCATTGCATACAACCGTTTTTGGCCCTTCATACAACGATTTGCTGATGACAATCAGAGATTATTAAGCTTGATCAAGCTCAACAGTGGTAGACCACTATTATCATCATCATCATCATCAAAAATTAACGGTCGTTCACGCGCCTGGATTTTTTTTTTTAATTTTCAAAATGAAAATTCCATGGCCGCCCTGTATTTAGTAAAGTAGACTTATGGAATTTTTCATGTACAAACTGCCGAACACAGAACTTTAAAGGCTGACTTAAATTAAACTGGTACGTCCAGATCAGCTATGGCAGATTATGCACGAGTACGGATTTCCGGATAAACTGACGCGATTGGTCAAGGCGACGATGGATCGAGTGATGTGCGTTGTTCGAGTATCGGGGACACTCTCGAGTCCCTTTGAATCTCGAAGGGGGTTACGGCAGGGTGATGGAGTTTCGTGTCTACTGTTCAACATAGCGTTAGAAGGTGTGATCAGAAGAGCTGGGATAGACACGAGTGGCACGATATTCAGGAAGTCCATCCAGCTCCTTGGTTTCGCCGATGACATTGACATTATGGCACGGAACTTTGAGATGATGGCGGAAACGTACATCAGACTGAAGGCTGAAGCTAGACGGATTGGACTTGCCATCAACGCATCAAAGACAAAATACATGAAAGCAAGAGGTTCTAGGGAAGACAATGTTAGCCTCCCACCCCGAGTTCAGATTGACGGTGACGAAATCGAGGTGGTCGATGAGTTCGTGTATTTGGGCTCACAGGTGACCGCCGAAAATGATACCAGCAGAGAAATTCAAAGACGCATTATGGCAGGGAATCGTGCCTACTTTGGACTCCGGAGGACGCTCCGGTCGAATAAAATTCGCCGCCGCACGAAGTTGACTGTCTACAAGACGCTGATTAGACCGGTGGTCCTTTACGGCCACGAGACCTGGACTATGCTCGTGGAGGACCAACGCGCTCTTGGTATTTTCGAACGGAAGGTGTTGCGTACCATCTACGGTGGAGTGCAGATGGATGACAGAACGTGGAGGAGGCGAATGAACCACGAATTGCACCAGCTGCTGGGAGAACCATCCATCGTCCACTTTGCAAAAATTGGGCGACTACGGTGGGCTGGGCACGTCGTAAGAATGCCGCACGACGACCCAGTGAAAATGGTTCTAGAAAGCGACCCAACAGGAACAAGAAGAAGAGGCGCGCAGCGGGCAAGGTGGATCGACCAAGTAGAAGGTGACCTGCGAACCCTTCGCAGACTACGAGGCTGGCGAACTGTGGCCATGGATCGAGTAGAGTGGAGACGACTTCTTCGGGCAGCAAAGGACAACAAGGCCTTAGCCTGATCGGTAAGGTAAGTACGTCCAAAAATACCTGTAATTAGTGGAATAATTACTAAATTGGTACGCCCAAAAAGACCTGTAATTCGTCATACAATAAGTTTAAAAAGTCCATTAATGGTTGCTTTACAGTACTTTTATTAAAACTTCAAAGGTACAGCCACAGACAAACAGACATAACACATAGAATATTTCTCACTGTAAAACATCGTCGCTAAAACATTACTACTCTTTGGCGACGAAATTAACATTGTTTGCAGCATACCATTCTAGTACCTCCTTAGAGTAGTGGCAGCTGGCTAGATCCGACCAAAACATAACGTTGGTCTTGTGTTGCCGAATGAAGGGTAAAATCCGCTTTTTCAGACACTCTTTAATGTAAACCTTCGACGTCATTGTGTGAGATGTGATGAAAACCTTGGTTTTAAGGCCACAACTGCAGATTCCTTGCCAAATCATGTAGTAGCACCTTGGAGTATTGCCATCTGGTCAAATCGGACCAAAAGATGACTTTGTCCCTATGCTTGTGGATGATCGGCAATACACGCTTTTTCAGGCATTCTTCGGAGTAAACTTGGGATGTCATCGTCGAGGATGTGACGAATGGTTCCGTTTCCAGGCCCCAACTGCAAACCGCTTGCCAAATCATGGCGTTCTTGGCGAATTTGTCGGCAAACACGAACTTGAATCTTCGCGATGTAAAACTTTTGACCGGGAAGCTGCTTAAAATCAAGTTTGACGTATGGTTCGTCATCGATCAAAGTGTTTTCCGTCAAAATACGGCCGTAAAAGAGCCTTGCACGCTTTTTGGTCACTGAATTCTGCTTCATGTGCCGGTTCGGATGTTTACTGGCTTTGTACGACTTGTATCCTTCCCTGGCTTGGATGTTCCGCATTGTTTGAAAGTTGGCGGAATTTTTGCATAGCTCCGCTGATTCCTTTCCACACTCAGGGTTTCCTTGTAGGTTTTGAGCACTCGACAAACTGTTGTTTTCGGCATCTTCAGCACTTTAGCCAACTTGGAACTCTGGATTTTCCAGGTGTTTGTGCACGATATTTTTTCTTCTTTCAAGTTCCATTTGACGTTATTTCTGAACGCGATCGACTACTTTGATCAAATTTGCACCAATTGTTCTCTATAGAAGTGTAAAACTATAGAGCAAGTAAGTAAAGTTCTCAGTTATTTGTCTTATGAGGACTATTTCTTCAAACCCTGTATATAAATAAATAAATCAACAATCCGGTTTCCCACAACCGAAGGACCACCCCACCGGTCTTACAACTTGTAATCAACCACATGGCCGTTGCTGTGGCCAACGACATCAACATACATCTACATCAGCTACCGCTTTTGTATGCCAACAAAGAGCTCTCTCCGGCTCTTGATAAGAACTCCGACGATCCGAAGCACCGCAGCCGGTACTCAGCTGGAGCTCTTTCTCACTCGTAGCTGCTCTTCGAACTGAGATCCAACACCCCCTGGCTGGCTGGCTGGGTGGCTGGAGCGCATAGCAGCATATCGTCACTAGTAGAGCAGCATTTTCCCTCAGTTGTACTCTGGACTCGGTAAGGATATCAAGCAAATCGTCGGAGCAGGAAAACGAACTCTTAGCAGAAACAGCAGCAACAACTGGCAGAACTGAGTGTAAGAAGATTTAGGACTACAAGTAGCAGCAGCAGCAGTCAGTGACCGTCATGGGTGAAGAACACCTATGTGTAGGTGGTACCTAGTGGAGCTCTTTGAAGTGCAAATCTCTTACATCCTGAGGTTAGAATAAAAAACAAAGGTGCAGGTGGCAACCTCCAGCTAATTGCCAATCAAAGTGGAAAAACTGCAGCTGCGGCAGGAATTTCCACTTTCCCGATCATTGGATTGTGTTCCGAAGAAGAAGAAGAAGAAAATCAAAACAGCAAGATGAGATGTGATTGTGAGTGAGTGAATTGAGGAAATTGATGTTCCTGCCAGCTTGTTAGGGAAGCGAGGAAAAGTGGAAAAAAATGTGCATTGCTGGGAAGTGGTTAATCAACCGTATGTAAATGTAATTATCGGGAATCCAGTCAGTCAGGCAGGCAGGCAGGCAGTCAGTGGATAATCTTGAAAAGTGAACCAATCAACCTGAAGGAGGAGGTGGCCTTGAGCTGCCTGGATGGAATGTGGCCATCGTCTTCGTCTTCGTCTTGGTCGTGTGAAGGCTTTTAATTAGATTTGAATTATACCCAGTTCGACGAGGCAGACCAAGAACGAAGCCAGGAAAAACTTTCTCACTCGCTTCTGCCTCCTGCATTACATTTGCCAATTAGGCTTCCTTCCTCTGCTTCTAGCGACGTCGTCGTCGTCGGTCGTGGAGTGGGTGGCGGACGGATGCTACTAGTTGAAAACCGTTCTGCGTGTTTTTTTTTTCTCTCGTGAAATAGAGTGTTAAATTTCACCTGCAAGTGACTGCTTCTGTGGTTGCGTGAAAGACGGTAATTGTCGAAATGGTGTAGCAAAGTGTTTATAGTGTGACTCGATAACAAGGTTACATAAAGCCATAATACGTCGTAAAAGTTTGGAGGGATATCCTGCCGCCTGCCATTCACTACTGGGTGTGCACAGTATTTCCTACGAGAAAAAAAAGGAAAAAGGATCAGCGATACATCCCCCATCAGTCCAGTCAGTGAGCCAATTCAGAGCATCAGTAGTGGATTCGGAGAACGAACGGTTAGTAAATTGGCTTTATCCTTTCGTTTTCCTCGGGTTTTCACAGGGGATAATAAATTTAAAAGCGAATACATGGGGGGACGAGAAGTTGGAAAAGCAGCACTCCTTCTACCACTCTCACTCTCGAATCTGATCTTTCTCTCTATCTCTGTCCCAAGTCCGAAGCTTACGATGGCTCCCCGTTTTAGTATGCTTCTTTGAGGCTGGGAAGACGACGACTGATAACACTCTCACACGCACATGTGTTGCCAGATCTGTGCCTGCAGACAAGGAGGACTACGATGCCCAAACATTTCGGTGCCATCCGTTTATTTATTTACCAATGTCGATGCTTTGATTGAACAACTGGCAGGACCTAACAATCTTTTTTGAGAAAGCTTAGTTGTAGTTGAAGCTATTCTCATCACAGCAGCTTTATCGTTGGGTAAAGATTTACGTTTGTGAAGCAGCATCAAAGTGCGTTCATTGTCATGCTAGCCGAGGAGGAGAAAACACTAATGAATGCCTAATTCTGACCTGATACCAAAATTTTCTGTTGATCAGCATGAGATAAGAGGTAAATTATCAAAAAATAATACCAAAAAATGGCATGCAAAATATTTTATAAGTAACAAAAATTGATATTATAATACCAAAGAATACCTGAGTGGTATTGTTTTGGTATTGCATTTGCTTAATTTGGTATTGGAATGTTTTTTTCCTTGATTTGTTTTCCGCCAGGGAGGCAGCTCCCACACCTGGACCCTACCTATCGACCCATCAACTCATGGACCTGGGACCAACGGCTTTACTTTCTTCGTGATCAGAGATGCTAGGGTGAGAGGTAATCACGCTTACCACTACACCACCGCCGCCGCTGGTATTGGAATTTTATTGTGGGAACATTTGTTTGGATTTATTTTTTGGTATTTTACCTCTTATGTCAGACTCATCCATACCAATTTAAAGTATCGAGATATTCGTGCCTGCTCGGGTACTGGTGATTAAATCAGCCTTTGTGATACTTTAAGGTAGCCCTGATCATGAGAGTATGCAGTGACTGATTTTTTGTACAGCCACAAAACAGAGCACGTGGAATCTCTTATGCATCACGAACTAGAGTGTGCAGAACTTGTTACTGTTTTTCAGTGAATGTAAAATACATTCACTTAAAAACAGTAGTGGCTTCTGTTGGCTCTGGTTCGTCATGCATAAGAGATACGGATTTGAGTTTTTAACAAAAGTTGTAGCTAACAAAGCCTACAAAAACTCAATACATCATTTTGCGAAATTCTGTTGATGAAAAAAGTTTAGGGACAAATGAATGTAAATGAATGCAAATGATTTTCCATGCCTGGTTCCACGTGAAATAGGTAAATAACCAGATTTGAGTCTTTGCGTCTTCCATAGACATTTAGACCATTTAGACTCAAGCATCATATTTTAAAAAGGGCGTATGTATTGTCGTGAGCACTTTGTTTGTAAAAGCGTATCTCATAAACCATCGATTGTATCGTGTATCGTGTCGAAAGGCGAATTAAAGAGAGCAGTTCCAGGAAGAATAGTGTAAAACATTCAATTTTGACGTAGGACTACGTCTGTGATTTCTATATGGGGGTACACTTTGTAAAAACCCATAATGGAACATGTAACAAAATTATGAAAGATTTTGAACGTTAATAACTCAGCTGCCCCTAGACCAATTTCAATAAATCTATCACCAATCGATCAGAAATATTTCTAAGCATCTGATAAGTTATAGACTTTATCATTTTTCAAAATGTCACTATTGAAAATTGCACGAATGTGCAATTGTTGCTATGAAAATAAAAATTATCACCAAATTCCTACGAAAAGCGATTTCCCTAACACAGATTTCAAAGTTGAATTCTATCCGGTCTCACCAAACGTTTTTCATTCAATCACCGCGTGGTGAGTGGTGGTGTTCTCCAGTACATAATGAAATTCTCCTCCATAGAAGAAGGAAGAAGCCACGCCGCTATTGATCGGAATCAGCAGCTCTTCGTGCGTACAACCCCGTAGGGCTGTTCCTAGTAGTTTTTTTTAATCAACCTTCTCTAAACTCCAAGTCCATTGTGTGAGTGGAAACGATTGTGGCGATTGTGAAAAGCAATCCAGAATTAGTGACAAATACCAATTTTGAGGATACAAGAAATTCTGAGCCAAGGGCATCTCGAAAAGAATTTTTAGAGAATTTTAAAGAAAGCGGGTTTCAGAAGAATTTATTGGAGAACTAGCGATCGTGGAAATTAGGCTGGAAGGCAAATGATACGGTGCTATCAATCCAGTGTTTGGTGGTAAACGTGATTGCCTCTCACCCCAAAGGGCCTGGGTTCAATCCCAGTCGGCACCCAGTCATTGGTCCCCGGTCCATGAGTTGATGGTTCGATAGGTGGTAGGGTCCAGGTGTGCGAGCTGCCTCCCTGGCGTCGGTAGCATTGGTACTCAGTACGAAAAACAAGATCGACGGAAAACAAATCAAGGAAAAACAAATAATGTAAAGAGACCTGGGATAGAACCCACAGTCTTCTGCTAAGTAAGCAAAAACGATTGGCCTCGACAACGGAGCCCCATACACAATATTAAATTACAGAACCAACGACGATTGTTGAAGCTATTCAAATGAAATGATGTCTTATTAAGGATATGCCATATTTTACCACGAAACTCATTTTTTTCAGTTCTATCTCACTAACGATTGTCTACTTATCGGCGACGTCGTACAGTGGGGTACTTTTTTCATTCTAGCAGGCCAAAAATACAGGGTTGGTAGCAAGTCACTTTTAAGTGACTTGGTCATTTTTTTTCAAGCCAATTCACTAAAGTCACTTTTTCTTGTAATCAATCACTATTTTCAACTTTTTTTAACGTGAATTTATTTCAAGATTGATCATTCTTCTTGCACTGTGTAGGATCTGATAGTCCAATCGATGCCTACATTTTGTTCTAATTTTCGAACAATTCGAAGGAGATTTGTGACGTTTAATCGTCTTTCTCTATCTACAGGGTGTCTACTCATTTTTCTAAAAAAAAATACCTGAGTTTTCCAGGTTTTTTTTCCAGAACTTTAACGGATAAATTCCAGGCTTATAATAAGAAAGCTATTTTTTAAATATTTTAACGCATATGATTTTTTTGGCAGATCAAAAACAACGTTTTTAAGACATGGAAATCAGTTGAAACAGCTTTACAATCAAACCCATTGAATGTTGAAGTTTAACACTTACTTAATTTCTCACTTTAATAAAGTTAAAAAAAAGAACTTACGTAATTTGAGTAAGTCCAAGATCTAAAAATATTCAATGTCTTGTAGTTTCGTATTCCGTGCACAAGTTCAAGATATTGAAAATTTTCAAAGTGCCAGAATTAAGGATAAAAAATAAATGATTTATTTCATGTTCGTAATTAACTTTATGGAAGATTACAGATCTTCATTGCAGTCCCATTAACTTCACAACAATTGTAGAAGCTTTGGAGAAGTTCTAAGGAATGAAAGGAAATGCTGAGAATTTCAGTGAACATAAGGGGAGGTTAACAAGCTGAAAATATGGGGAACTTACTGGAAGCTTTACGAACCTCAAAGCGGTTCTTTTAGCATCCGCAAATTTTCCGGAACTTTTATGAAGTTCCTAGAATTTCAGAGAACTTGAGAATTATAGAAAACTTAAGGGGTATTGTGCAATTTTTAAAGAAGTTCTAACCACCTCAGAAAAGCTAGATCCAGAGATCTTTGGCAAATTTCAGATCTTAAGAGCAGTTCCCATAACTTTAGTCCAGACTTTTGGGTCAGTTTAAAAATCTATAATCGTGAATTTAGAAAAATTCAGGATAGTTACATGATGTTCCGAGAATTTTAGGGAAGTACAGAGACCTTCAGAAAATTTATGAAAACTTCAGAAATATTTCAGGAACTTCACAGAAGTCCAGAGAATTTCAGGAAAATTCATTAGAATTAAGAGCTTTAGGGAAGCTTCGAGAACATCAAGACAGATCAGAGAATCAAAGGGTAGTTCAAATAATTTCAAGGAAATTGTAGAAACCTTAAAGATGTTTCGAGAAAGTCAGGGAATTTCCATAAACTTCAGCAAAGCTCCGAGAGAATTTCTTGGACGTGATCAAAATTATGTGAACATCCTGAAAACGTGAGAGTGTTTTAAAGGTGTTATATCATGAAGATTTCAAGAACTTAAAAGAATATGTGAAAATTTAGCTAAGTTGATTAGAGAACATCAACGAGGTACCATTGATTAAAAAAAATGCGAGAACTTTTAGCAAGCAGTGATATCTTCAAGAAATTCTAGAGGACTTCTAAAACATATAAATATTTTTAGATAGTTTCATGATTTTCAGCGAAGTTCCGAGTACTTCGAGGACGATCAGATAACTTCATAATAATCCCATAAACTTAAGCAAATATTCAGTGACTTACAAGGAGTTTCGTGAAATTATGGTGTATTCCGAGAATTCTTTGATTGATCCGAAAACGTCAGAAGCGTCATGGAATTATGAATATATATCAGACAATTTTCCGGATCAACGGCGCCGGTGGTGTAGTGGTAAAAGTGATTACCTCTCACCCCAACAGGCCTGGGTTCAATCCCTGTCGGCGCCGCCGGGATGTTCTGAGGCATAACATCTCTGATCACGCCTTCCTTCGGATGGGAAGTAAAGCCGTTGGTCCCCGGTTCATGAGTTGATGGGTCGATAGGTAGGGTCCAGGTGTGGGAGCTGCCTTCATGGCACGTCGGTAGCATTGGTGCTCAGCACGGAAAACAAGATCGACGGAAAAAACAAACCAAAAGGAATTTTCCGGATTATGAAACAAGTTTAGAGAACTTCAGGTAAGCAAAGATAAGTTCAAGGAAAATTAGTGAGCGTTTATAACGGTTATAATACTTAAGGAAAATTGTCGAAATTTCAAGGCAAATCAATTAATTTCAATAATGTTGCGGGTTCTTAAGAAAAACTGATACATCCAGGGCATGCTAGAGAACTTTAAA